CTGCTTCGTCTCCAGTGATAGAATACCTGTAAAGTTGCAATAGTGGGTACGTGTGTATTACAGTGGTCACTTGATTTACCACTTGATGAGTAGCAACTTAAACCACGGTGAGAATTTGTTCCGTTCTTCTATAATTTGGACACAACTGTTCAAAACGTCATTATATAAAGTGTTGATGCATACTGAGACATACCTCGCAATTTGACCAATCTCTATTGTTGTGTCTGTGCTGACCTTGATGTTGGCCTTCATCCATATTACGTGCCAGTTCTCATCTATATTTAAAACTGTGCATTTCAGAGTCACATCGTCACCCTCGTTCGCAGTTATTGAGGTTGGTGTCACCGCAAAAGATGGAACATCTTAAGAAAAGAACACAATAACTCATATAGCCATTTATAACAACCAATGAGGGTGTGAATCATAATTCGCCGTATTACGAGTTACCATGGGATGAGAATATCGATCTTTACAATGTTGAACTAGAGCAATATATCAAAAGTAGCATTTCTTGAGAAGCTGATAATATGTTTTTGTCGTTCATAACACAAAATGTTAACGCATTCAACTACCAGAGTGTAAACCAGAATTATTAGACAGGCAACGTAGAATATCAAAACAAGTTATTACAACATTTTGGTCCAGGCAATTGAAATACCGGGACGTATCATGTTCAATTTATACAGGACAGTTGCTTCTCAAAAACGTTCGCCATCTTATTAGTCTGAAATCCTGTCATTTCGAGCACATCTATAAATGACCAGCTAAATCGTTATATAACTACACAGTCGCCATGGAATTCTGTGTCATCACTGATTGGCTGTCTCCATGACTTTAGTGTATTGCCCACGCAAACACTTCATTAGACCATAATCCCGGCGATTATAAACGACATTTAGTCTACCGTCATTTTACTGGTTTTATAATTTGAAATTGTACAAAACGTAAACCCGGAGTATACAAAATTAAAATGCAAAACTACCTGACCATGGAAGGTACTAACTAATGCTCTAACCTATAGAATACAAAGTCACGTGACCATATAAGGCATATAATGCCAAGCAACACTTACTGACAGTTAGGGTAGCTTCTGATGAAATGACGGGAGAATTTCCCATAGCCCTGACGGTGCATGAATAGTTCCCAGCATCCTCTTCTGTGACGTTCACAATTTTTAGGTTGTATTCACCCTCGCTTTGGTTCCCGGTCACTGATAGTCTTTCGTCATTATTGATCACCAGTTCTTCGATGGCGATACCGTTAGCTTCTTTGAACCACACCTGCGTACCTCTTTTATTAGCAATAGTACATCTGAATATTACCGTGTCTCCGTATCCTACCTCTGCGTCCGTAGGTTCCAAAGAAAAACTTTGAATCGGTACGTCCCTGGTCGTTGTGACTTGAGGTGATTCCGTGGCAACTGTGTAAATACATTCAGAGATGACGACTGAAGGTGTCGCACTTTTAATAACATTTCAGAAGAGTATTTCATGAGCAACATGTAGATATTTCACGGCAAATATTGTAAATAAAAATTAACTATTATGAATAAAACTAAACAACCTGCGCAACTTTTGATATTATACAACGTACTTGTTATAACTGTCAGCTTGGCAGGCTCGGTTAATTTTTGATCTTGTTCACCAGCGGATGCAAGAAGACACATATAGTTTCCACTATCACTGCCGGTGACACCAACGATTTGTAAATCGTATTCGCCTTCACCAACATTACCAGAAATGGAGTGTCTGGTGAAAAATAAATATATCTGACTACAAGAAATTGATAGTGTTCTCATGAAGTTCAAAGTTATCATCTTTCCACAGTGGTTGCCTTTACCACAGAACTTGCCCAAGCAAACCTGACCTGAGTAGTGCAGAAATGGTGGCCAAGGATAGACATGAATGGAAGGACCTGATTACAGCCTTATGTCCCGGTGTGGGATGAAAAGGACCACACACAAGAAATTGATAGTGTATTCATGAAGTTCAAATGGCTTGGCTGTCGGAGGACTGAGCCTTGGCTTTTGAAGATCGCTGTAGGGACGTGCCTGGATAGGGTTGTCGGAATGGACGGACACAATGAGCGAAAGTTGGAAGAAAATATTATAAACCAACCAATAACAGAAAATTGTTACTTGACATTCAAACATGTATCAATTTTTAATTAATTATAATTAATAATTAATAATCTATAATTAATCGTAATTAAAATCAAATTTTGAGCAGACGATCAACAAATTGCAAAAATGTATTACGCACACGCAATGACCTTTGACATACCTATCACCCGTGATAAGAATATCCGTTTCAGAGGAAATTAAAACTGCTTCGTCTTTGATCCAATAGAGATTTCCAACTTTATTGACGGTTCTGCATTGTAGTATTACGGTGTCGCCTTCGTCTACTGTCACGTTACTTGGTGATGTGACTATATCCTGTTGTCCAGCTAGATACAATTTAAAAATATTGCGAG